TCCAAGCATTTTTGCAGGTACCTCTTCCTCTGAGGAGTCCATGTGGCCATGGGATCCCCCCCTCCCAATATGCACTCCTAGAGTTCCTCACCCCCCCTTCTAGAACATTTTGGAGTTTTCTTTCTAAATGACCTCAGCCTGCTTCCAGAGCCTATGTGGCCTCTTCCTTAGGGCCAATCTCCTGGGGGTAAACTTACTGCAGAGTTGCATATCCCTAGGTACAAGGGGTGGTAGAGCATGGGCTTTTAGCAGGAAAATGTGAACAGAATCTGGATATCGGGGTTGGCACATCCTGTGGTGTGGCACAGAGGAGTGGCTCTGGCTGTGGCATACAGTAGGGCCTTGACTTACGAGTTTAATTCGTTCCGTGACGGAGCTCGTAACTCAAATTACTCATATGTCAAATCATAAAGTGAACGAATGAGACACGTGATGCTGGGCTGATGTTGTGGCGTTCACTGTGACGTTCGCTGCGCCAACTAGCGGTGGGGTATCTGAAGCTGGCTCGTAACCGAATTTTAGCTTGCAACTCAAAGCAAAAAATCGGCCGAGAGACGGCTCGTATCTCGAAAAACTCGTTAGTCGGGACACTCGTAAGTCAAGGCCCCACTGTATATATATATATATGGTTTGGGTTGTTTTTTTTTCCGTGAAGCAGTACAAAACTCAGAAGCTCCATTAAGTGCAACAAACATGGATATGATGCTAAGCAACTCTACTCCTTTCCATAAAATGAATAAGACTTAAGTTTAACAGCATAGTAAACTTAAAGCAGCAGTTCTCAAATTTCAATACTGCCCTGTATATTGTTAAATAACCCAGGCTAGATTGAATTATAGAGTTTTTGTTTTTAATAATATATTGAGTGAGAAAGCAATGACATGAAGTGATCTGAACAAAGGTGCATTGGTAAAATATTGATGCCATAACCAACCCACATGGCCCACAGTTTCACTAAAGGCGACGACTAGATTCTCTGGAGGATGAAGAGGTGACTTTTCCCACAAATGTCAGAAGCAGGCTCAGGTAGAGGTATTTTAAGTTACTGTAGAAATGAATGGCTTAATTAGCATTTTGTTATTTTAATTACAGTTAATTACAGGTAGTTCGTCATCAAAATTCTGAGGATGGAGTTTGGATCTGAAGAATACCTAGTGTCAAATAAAAATAGATGCACAGAGAAACTGTAGGGAGCAAGGAACTTTGGAATTTATAAGCTTTCTTTTTAGGCACACAGGAGTTTTAATCTGCAGAAACTTGCGAAAAGAACTAAGCTCTACACAAAGACACACATTTATCCATCCTTCGGGCCGTTAACACAACTTCTCTAAGATGTCAGAGTGATAAGCCAAGTAACAGAAATTGTTTTCTTCTCCTCACCTCGCAACAATTATTTTAATGCATTGCTGGGATTTTGTAGACATTTTTCTCCCTAACAGAACAACTGACGTTGTGCCAGATCTGTAACTGACTTGGAGAAAAACTGAACATGATACATTTTGTAATTTTCACTACATCTTTCCCATGTTTTTTGCTGTTTGCCAGAGCCCTTTCGTGACACAAAATTTCTGCGCTTGACCAGAGAACCCAGCTTGTTCTTTCTCCCCCCTTTCCTCTCTCCCATTCTCTCACCAACCAAGGCAAAAGGGAGTCATTATCTTCAACTGTGAATCTCCAAGAAGTTATTTTGTGGGTGAGGCCACACAAAGGATTTCTAAGAACTTCTCCCAATTCCTGACTGTGGATAAAAGCATCTGCATAAATTGGTGATTGTAAGAGAAACACACTTACATGTCTTGTGAAAATCCACAGAGGAAAAGAACAACATATAATGTTTCTAAACTTCTGATTTAAGAAAATGGACTTTAATGTCGTGAAATAAATCTAGGCAGTTAAGACACTTTGTGCCAGGGTCTTGAAATTAAAACCAAGGTGCCAATTTAAAAATGGCTTTGCTCCCAAGCTCTACGCTGGGCTCCAAAGGAAAACAAAATGTTGGGTGGCTCATTAGTAATGTTCCATACTCGTCTCTGCATAAGGGACAATTCAGCAGAAATGCCAAAGAAAGAAAATTATGTTCCCACAGTCATGTCACCTGCCCTAGTTGAGTGAAGAGAAAGCTGGTTATCTGTTTGGGGCTGGCATTAAAATCTTAGATGGCAACAAACAATTGGAAATTAAAATAAAAAAAAAACAATACCAATTCAAAGCAGCATCAAAACACGAACGACTTAAGGATAAATTTAATGAAACATGCGGAAGTTGTGTCCACTGAAAACTTAAAAGACTGCCAAGAAAAAGGAAAGAAAACATACAAAAAGGGAGACATATACTGTCTTCATGGGTTGGGAAACTCAAAATTGTTAAAAATGTCTATTTTCTTCAAATTAATCTATAGATTCAATACAAACGCAGTCCAAACCCCAGCAAACTTTTTGGTAGAAATTGACTACCTCATTCTAAAAATTATATGAAAATATGAAAGACTTAGATTAGCCAAAATAATTCTGAAAAAATAAAAGAACATGTTGGAAACTCAGACTCTCTGATTGTAAGACACTGTAAAGCTATAGTAGTCAACATATTAGCATAGACATATAAATGGGACAAAATAGAAAAATCCAGAAATAGACGCACATATATGTGGTAGATTGATTTTTGATAAAAGTGCCAAGACAATTCAATGGTAAAAAAATTTGCCTTTAAAAAGAACATGCTGCCCAGCCAGCATGGCTCAATGGTTGAGCATCGACCTATGAACCAGGAGGTCACGGTTTCGATTCCTAGTCAGGGCACATGTGACCCAACTGGGGGTTGTGCAGGAGGCAGCTGATCAATGATTCTCTCTCATCATTGATGTTTCTATCTCTCTCTCTCTCTCCAACCCTTCAAAATCTGGAAGCAACCCATGCTTTTGAACACCTTTTGTTTTGAGGATGATCTTTTGAAGTAGTGCTGGCCTTACATAAGAGTCTTTTAGGTAATCCAGCTATTATTTGATTCATAGGAAGCTACAATACTAAATGCTGTAAGATACTAAAGAGTGAAAATCCTTAGAACAGGTGGGAGATGAGCCCTCCTTCCTCACAGAAAAAGGTGTATCCAGGCATAAGTGACCACATATTGTTCAACCTGATATTTATGTCCAGGGTAGCCATCCTGCAGATGACTCTAACAGGTAAGGCAATTCCTCGTCTACATCCCTTGTTCTTGACTTTGGCTGCACATTGGAACCCCATCCTAAGAATTTATGATTTAATAGCTGGGGGTGGGGAAAGATGGGCACTTAAACTTTGATAAACTACTCATATGATTCTAATTTGCAGCCAAAGTTGAGAACTACTGCTCTAAACTTTATAAACTTTATGGACATATGTAAATGAAGAGACGTTCATGCTGCCATCCTCGGCTAAAATCCACTATTGACTGACTATATGATTAGTGTTCTAACTCATAATTCTTTTTTTTTTAACAAGAGATTTTTCTTTTAAATACAGAGGTGCTTTATTTTTGTTGTTAATCATCACCCGAGGATATTTTTCCACCGATATTTTTTTTTTAGATAAAGTGGCGAGGAGGAAGAGAGACAGAGAGAAATAAACATCGATGTGAGAGAGACTCACATCCATTGGTTGTCCTGATCAGAGGGCCGGGGATGGAGCCTGCAACAAAGGTATGTGCCCTTGGCCAGAATCGAACCCGGGACCCTTCAGTCTTCGAGCCGATGCTCTATCCATTAAGCCAAACTGCCTAGGACTCATAATTCTTTCTTAACTTTGCTCCAATACCTTTAATAATTCACAGGTGGATTCTGGTTTTCTATTTCCAAGTGTGACTTCATGCTGCTGGTTTAGAAGGTCCTGAAGCATTAGTATAAAGTTATTTGTCTCCGGGACAGGTTTTATTCACGATAACACTGCATATTTATGTTATGATCCAGGGCTCAGTCATCACAAAAGATTTGCCCATTGGTCAATACTTCATGTTAAATTACTTGAGGGCATGGATCTAACATTGCTCTCTAGGGGGACAGTGCCAAGAACATTATGCACTAATGAGTTTGAGAAAAGGCCTTGATGGCTAAAATTACTTCTACATAAAATGGTACTCAAAGATGGTTAATTCTCATTCTAAGTTCTTGGCTTAATTAGTGTTCTCTTGTTAAGATATACATGCAGATGTCTCTGTTCTTATTGTTTGTTAAACAATAAAGGAGATACATACATTGCATGCTTTGTACCACACACAAGAATCTAAAGCCCTTTTTGTCTTTCATAACATTGACATTCTGCAGGAGTCCAGGCCAGATGTCTTTTGCCCTATGCTTTGAATAGATCTGATTATTTCTTCATGATTAGATTCAGGTTCAACATTGTTTTGCAAGAAGACTACTGTATATAGTTGACGCTCCTTTTCCCTAGTGCATCACGTTAGGAGGCATATGATTGATTACCTCTTATTGGTGATGCTACTTTTGGTCGTTTGGCTAAGATGGTGTACATACCTTTATGTGGTTATGTGTGTGTGTGTGTGTGTGTGTGTATGTGTGCCACAGCGACTGTGTTCACACTCTGAGAAGCTAAGTATCAGGCCAGACTGAGTCCACAGCAGGAGGCAGTCGCTTTCCCAGGCTCCCGGGAAACCGGTCCAACCACGCCCATCGTACTGCCCGCCCGCGTTTCTTTTCCGGGAAAATCACCTCTCAGAACCAGAAAGCCCCTGCTCCAACGCACCCATATCTTTTCCCATCAGTATGGGCGCGCCTGCGCAGCGAGTCTGCAGGCGGCTCCTTTCCAGCGCCCGACCGCTTCTTTTTCCTGCTCTCCTCCCCTCCGGCTCCGCTAGAGCGATTTCACCCTTAGGGGTCGACCACAGGTCCCCAAACGCGCGCTCACGGGAAGACCTGGGGCGGGGCCTGGCGCGGCGCGGTACGTCAGGGGCCTTCCGGGCGGAAGTCCACAGCCTCCGGAGCCGCTGATTGGCTTTCAGGCTGGCGCCTGTCTCTGCCCTCGTTCCAGTTTCAGGCTGGTTGGCGCGGAATCGAGAGACTCCCGGACCATGGCGCCCGTGCACGGCGACGACTGTGAGCTGGGGCCACGCGGGGTCCCGGGTTGGGAGTGCGGGGACCGTGGCATGATTGTGGGTGGTGGAGGCTAGAGGATGGGTCTCTTTTAATTTTTTCTGAAGGAGGCGCGCGCCCCAGTCGTCCCGCGGGTCTGTTTGGGCGCGGACCTTGGTCGCCCCGGGCTGGGACTTTTCTGGTATAAGACGGGGCTTGCCTGCTGGGCCCTTTGCTCCTGGCAGCCCCCCGCCTGCGGGGCTTTTGGTTTGGGAAACTGCGTCACCTCGGTCACTGCGGGTCTCCACACTCTCCTGCCTTTCTTTTTTTGTTTTGTTTTTTCCTTTTGCTGAGTCGTGTGCCACGCTCTGGGCACACCTTTATAAGACTGGCCCCGGCGGGGCACAGTTTTGACGGAAAGTATTTCACTACTGCCACCCCAACTATGCACTTGAGGGCTACGATGCATGTCATCCCCTTTATAGAAACTCCCAGGAAATTGTCATACCTTGTAAAGAAAACTTTTAAGTGCTGTCACCAGAACATACAGATGCATTTTGTCTTTCTAGCTACCGGGTTTCTACTTTATGCATGAACAATTTTTCTTTCAAATTCTATGGAAAGTTCAAGTATGGCATAGAAATAGTGTTCACAATCTAGTCTTCTTGATGGAGCTTTAAAAAAAAGTAGCAGTTCAGCAGCATTTCAGATGTCCTGTAGCACTCCGTTTTCAGTGGTAATCTTTTACTTCAAAAAACTGAGTACAAAAATGCAAATGGCTTTGTCTGATTTCTGATTTTTTGAACAGTGTTCAACTAAAGTGTGACTTAAGTGAACTTCTAACTTAAAATCAGATGCTTCACTTTCTTAGCTGAAGCACATCTGTCACTCAAGTGCATCACTATTAATGAGAACTTGCTTCCTAATCAGCTTCCTTTGCATTCACCTAGATACGAATCAGAGATTTCAATTTATTCTTCTAGCCTTTTGTCTTTTAGGACAATTTATTTTAGGCAGTCGACTAGCCTGGATTACAAATGGGATGTAGGATGTGAACACATGCAGTCTCTGCAGCCCTACATCAGTGATTTGCCACTAAGCTGTTTCTTCACCCTAAAAACTGTACAACATCTGTGAACATCAAGAAATCACTCTTTGGCAATCTTGAGACCCCTCTTAAGTCATGGTGTTGATTAAGTGTTGCTGGAGACTTGTGACTGGAATTTTTCCTCTAGAGCAGACTGAAAGATTGTTACCGGAAAGACTGTTGCAGGCCATTATTTTGTCTGCTTTTGGGGAGGATGGGGGTACTTCAGAAGGTAATTTTGAACCATGTATTAAATTTTTGTAACTGGATTTTTTTCACGCTTATTCTTTTTTGCTAACTTACTACGTGAAGCATTGGAGACATATTCCAAAAATGGAAATCTAGGCCTTTTCCCCTCAAGTATTAGGTGGGGTACCTTGACAATGGCAGTGAAAAGTTGAAAGGTCTATAACTAGCTTTATATATGAAAAAGGATCAAGGAGAATTTAATGATTAAATAAAGCATGCACAGTGAGTGGTTCATTCATTTGTTCATTCAGCAAATATTTATCATGTACCTACTAGGCATAGGCATTCTGCCAGCCTCTAGTGGTAAGAGTGGTAGGTAAGCTGGACATGCTTTTTGTTTTCATGGAGTTGAGATTGTAAACGCCTAACTTTTTAAAATATATATTTATTTCAGAGAGGAAGGGAGAGGTAGAGAGAGATAGAAGCATTAGTATGAGAATCATTGATTGGCTGCCTCCTGCTGGGGATTGAGCCCACAACCCGGGCATGTGCCCTCGACCGGAATTGAACCTGGGACCCCTCAGTTTTCAGGCCAACATTCTGTCCACTAAACCAAACCGGCTAGGGCTAAACGCCTAATTTTATGCAGTGCTATATTGAGGCTTCCCTGAGATCACTGCTTTGTTATATTTTTGTTTTCTAGACACTAGACCAGCGGTTCTCAACCTGTCGGTTGTGACCCCTTTTGGGGTCGAACTACCCTTTCACAGGGGTCGCCTAAGACCATCGGAAAACACATATTGTTTTGTGATTAATCACTATGCTTTAATTATGTTCAATTTGTAACAATGAAATTGGGGGTCACCACAACATGAGGAACTGTATTAAAGGGTCGCGGCATTAGGAAGGTTGAGAACCACTGCACTAGACCATGTTACTGCTAAGTAGTGTGTGTGTGTCTACCCTGCATCTATACACACATGCAATGAACTTCTCTTATATTGCTGAGTACAAAGCCAAGTATCTTCATTTAATCTGCAACAACTTTATGAAACAAACATGATTATCCCCATTTCAGAGATGAGGACCCTGAGGCTCTGCATTAGTCTGAGTCCTTATGTGTAAGCTATAGAAACCAATTCTAGCTAATTTTTTTACAATTTTATTGCCCATTGAAAAATAAATAAAATAAAAACAAAAAATAAAACACAACAAGCCATTGTCAATTATTTTCCATTTGTGAAGTCTAGCTAATTTAAACAGAAAAGGAATTTATTAGAAGGATATTGTGTTGTTCACGGAAACTCCAGGAGGACTGGAGAGTCAGCCTGGGGGTTAGTTAGCCAGGAATAGTGATTAAAATCGTGTCACAAAACTGTTCCAGTGAGGAGGTCGTGGCCAACCATGGCCAAGTACTTGAGGTTATAGCTTGTTATAGCTGTAGTTAACATTGCTGGCACTGTTACTTAATCCTCCTGCAGCTGTTGCTACTTATAGAATCTTTTCCTAGCCCATCTCCTTTCCTTTTGACACTAGCTTCTGATTTAAAGTCTGAGCAGGTGTTCCTAATTGGGAAAGCCCATTTTATATGCCCATGCCCTAGCTGCAAGGGTGTCTGGGAAAGAGCATCTGCCTTTTCAGTAGTAGGATATGGCCTCTGTGTCCCATCAAAACTTTAGGGGAGCCTGACCAGTGTGGCTCAGTGGTTGAGTGTTGACCTGTGAACCAGGAAGTCATGGTTCAATTCCCGGTCAGGGCACATGCCTGAATTTCGGGCTCCGTCCCCAGTGGGGGTTGTGCAGGAGGCAGCCGATCCATGATTCTCTCTCATCATTGATATTTCTCCCTCGCTCTCCCTCTCCCTTCCTCTCTGAAATCAATAAAAATATATTTTAGAAAAGACTTACAGGGGAAATTTCACAAGTAGGTTCATATGCTGGGCAGCTTAAACAACAGCAAGACAGCTGTCCACTGCAGCTCAGAAAGGTTAAGTGTGATCTCATGTTGTCCAGTAAGTGACAGAGCTGGGTTGTGCTGCTTCTCCCTAATCTATTCTCCCACTTACTCTACACTCTCATGCCTTACCTGCTACACTGACTTTCGGTTTCTGAATACACCTTGCATTTTCATCCTTTTGTAATTTGGCTCGTGCCTTTTCCTATGCTTGTGCCACTTTTTACCATGTACTCTGATAGTAAAATTTTACTCCTCTTGCTAGGTTTGTGTTGGAAACTTCCTGTGAAGCCTTCCCTGATTTCCCAGGCAAAATTAACAGTTCTCTTTTTTACATTTCCTCAGTACCATGCTCTTACCTCTTATATGACACCCTGTTTATATGATGGTGGGAGCCTCAGGTCCTTTTACTTTACTTGACTGTGAACCCATTGAGGACAGGCAACTCTGTCATATTTGTTGTTGCACCCCAAACCCTGTGGAGTAAGTCCATTTGAAGACTATAGATTTTGTTATTTTAATCAAGAGGAGTCAAGGAATCTTAAAGGGAACACATTGAGGCCTACTTTTCACTCATAGTGGTCATGTTCAGTATTCTCCGAAACCATTTCATGTAGGCCTGCTCATTTTTAAAAATTAGCGAGGAGGGGAGAGGAATAGAGAGTTAGAAACATCGATGAGTGAGAAAAATCTATCAGCTGCCTCCTGCACACCCCCTACTGGGGATGTGCCTGCAACCAAGGTACATGCCCTTGACTGGAATCGAACCTGGGACCCTTCAGTCTGCAGGCCGACGCTCTATCCACTGAGCAAAACCGGTTAGGGTTTGCTCATTTTTTTTTAATCATTTGAGTGACACCCAGGATTTTGTGGCTGTCATCATTAAGTACCTGCATTCCTTAATTTTTACTTAATGCCTTTCTAAAACGGATTTAAAAGTCAAATGTGAAAGTCAAACAATAGACAGATGTTATAGAGATTGCAATTCCAGGAAGCTAGAAGAAATAAGATCTCTAATTATACTTCACTTTTGAGATGCAGTTTTTAGTAGTTTATTGCCAGCATTTGGTACATGTTCTTTAAATTGCATCTTCCATTTCAGTCAAACACTTAGTCAAACCGCTTAATGTTGTTAAGAATTTTGCAGTGGGGTTGGAGCTGTTAGGATGCCTCTTATCAATACTTTTCCTTTTCTGTGCCTACTTCTTTTTATAGAATAATTAGCACCAAATACAATAAAATACTCAAATTCACAGGCATAGATGGCACTAATGCTGAGCCTAAACTCTCGGCTGGTAGGCAGCACTGTCTTGCTTGACTTGGTTATTCATTAGCTGGTATATGAAAGTCTTAATTATGTGAATGAAATCTTTTCACTATGTGTGTGAGGTCGTCAGTTTATAATGACCAAAAGCATAAATAATTCAAAAGTTGAATGAATGAACACTGAAGCCCTCTGGTATTTCAGTAATTTTTGACAAAACATTTTAACCTTTATAATTTTTCATCATCATCTTATAATGCCCTAACCAACTAAGTGAGGCCTGGAAATCAGTGACGAAATCAAGAATCTTTTCAGAGTCATCTTTGTTAAATTCTCCCAACCCCAATTTATCCCTCCTTTGAAATTCCAGATACTTTGTCTGAACCTGTTATGGCATGCATGACTTCTAAAGATTGTTTTAGAGTTAGTTGCTATTTATCTCCCATTTTAGATTTTAAGTTCTCTGAGTATGGGGACCATATCTTTTTGATCTTTGTGTCTGTCAGAGCACCTAGTACTTTGCAAAGAGCAGGTGCTCCTTAAATCATGCCAAATGTTGATTAATGGAATACAACCCTTTTATAACTCTCCTAGGCCCCTCATTTGTAATGGAAAGGTTATGGGCTAGCTGATCTCTCTTCTCTAGTGTCTATAAGAGATATCAGTTGAATTTGAATTTTTCTCCTTTTAAAGAAAAAAATAATAGCTATTTTAGTTGTTTCAACTGTATCTCAGAGAAAAATCTCTGAAGAGTCACAGGAGCTACAGGCTCAGCCATGAACTTTGTGAATTACAGTAAAACCTTGATATAATGGACTAATTCGGGCAAGGGGGGGTGTCCATTAAAGCTGAAAGTCTGTTATATAATCAAGTAGGTTTTCCAAATGTGTATGTTAAAAAATTGACAAGTTAATTAGCTTACCTGTTGTTACTTATGTAGACGTTTGTAATTAAAATTAAGTATGTATGAAAAATTTAATTTCACAGACAAGTTTTCTATATGGATTACTGTAATTTTAAATTTATACTGAACAGGTCTAGTAAATGTGTGCATTCACCAGTCACTGCGAGTAAACATGCACACGGGTGAGCATGGCTTAGCACATGTGGGAACATCTGCCAGCCTGCACTAAAACTGCTGCAGAAAGTCATGCCATGAGACAACAGAACCAGTTACCTTGGGAGATGCGGTGTGATCATGTGCTAATCATTTGCAGAACATTTTTTTACAAGCGGTGACTCTTGGATATAAATATGTAGACTATAATTGTAGATATGTAATATTTATTTATGTCCGCGAAATTACTAGTGTTTTTTCCAACATATGGCCTATTTGCTAAAATTTGTTAAAAATAACTGAATTAATAACAAGAAAATAAACTGTTAGTTTAATTATAAGTAAATCTTAGTTAAAAGCCTTTTAATATTAACAAGGTGTTAATTTTCACATATGACATATGGACCAGAAATTTTGTCCACTAAATCTGAAGTCCGTTAAATCGAGGTCTGAAAAATCAACGGTTTACTGTATTTACATTATAAAAAGTATTCATTTGTATAATATTGAAATTGTGTATTACTGTTGGCTAGAAGTTAGGTTCAGTCCCGGATTCCTCTGCTTTTGAGGCAAGATGGCTGACAATTTTGTAACATTTCATGTAAATTTGGCTTTTTTTTTTTTTTTTTACAGCTGTGTCAGATTCAGGGAGCTTTGTAGCTTCTCGATCCCGGCGAGAAAAGAAATCAAAGAAAGGGCGCCAGGAAGCTCTAGAAAGACTGAAAAAGGCTAAAGCTGGTGAGAAGTATAAATATGAAGTAAGTAACCATTTTTCTGTTGTTTTTTCCTTTGTGCTTCATCCAATTCATAGCCACTTGACCCTTAAAGTTTCTGTAAGGCACTTTACAGATGCTTTCATAATTCTGAAATGAAAGTAGTTATATATATTTCCTTATTAAGTATATTGCATCTCTGATAAATCTTATGGCTTTGTTGCGGGGGGTGGTGGCCATAGGGATGCTTTTACTTTACTCCTAAGGTACTGAGCAGTTTAGCTAAGCACTTTGAGAGAATTGTTTTTCCTAATTTCATTTGCAAGGGGAGTGGCAGTGGTGACTTGGATCTTATTTCTGCTGTGCCCTGATGTAAGATGGAATGTCCTGCCATTTTGGCTGTTTTCCTGTACCCACTGTTTATGTCCTGTAGGTAGAAACAGAGTAGCTACCATCTACACAGCATTGTCTAGCTTCACCTTCAACATGTTCCCTGAGTATCTTAACTGCCTTGGGGCCTGAAAATGATTAATTAATACTAGAAAATAACAGCAATTAATGCACTTTTTCGTTAACACTATTTTAAGTGCTTTTTACAAATATGGTCATTTATTTAATTCTTCCAACAACCATATAAAGTTAGATGCTATAATTAAGAGCATTTTGCACCTGATAGATCTGAGGTCACAGCAGCAGAGCCTTGATTTGAACTCAGGCTTCAGAATATGCATATTTAACCATGGCCTATACTGTATTGGACAATTAAGCAAGCAGAAGGGGGTTTTTGTCATTTGCCTTCATTCATTCAAGTTAAGTGAGTCAACCAGACCATAAAGGGCTACTAAAAGGATTATAGTAAAACAGGAGTAAAGCATTTTTTTATTGAATTTATTGGGGTGACATTGGTTTGCAAAACCATACAGGTTTCAAGTATACAACTCAACAAAACATCATCTGTATACTGTGTCATACGCCTACTGCCCTAAGCAAAGTCTCTTTCTGTCCCTATTCCCCCCTCTTTGCCCATCTCCACCTACCCTCTCCAACCCACTTTTCCTCTATACTATAGAGTCTATAGGTACTTCTATAAAGGAGTTCTCTGGGGCATTTCAGATGTTTACACAATGTGCTTGATTTCTCTTTAATCACTGATGTTAATTGCATAGCTCTAAGAGTTCATGCTGAGCAGTAGCAATGATTTTAGAGATAAAGTCAAAATGACTTGTTACTCAAAATGATTTTTAAGAGAAGTTTTCTGGTATCTTTTTGAATAAGTGAGTTGATTAAATAAGAGACAAAGTATGCCCCCATAGACTTCAACCAACAAAAATTACCTGCCCCCCCCCAAAAAAAATTGGTCAGTATAGAAATATTAATTGGACTAGTTGTGTTTGGGTTGTCAAAAACTTAATTTGCTAGGGCAGGTCGTTTCTGTTATCAAATGGTAGAAGGCCAAATATTTGCCAGTGATCCCTATAGAATAGATTAAACAGGAGGTGAAACTAAGCTTAGTCCTGTAGTTATTATAAGCCTTGTAGCTATGGCAGAAATCCAGTCATTCTGCCCATTGTGCTTGCAAAGCTTGGTGTGCAAGTGTTTTTTTCTTAAGGTCTTTGGAGTTAGCTATTTCCTCCACCCACCCCCCACTTGATAAGACAGAACTGTCAAGAGAAGGGGCAAATTTTTTTGTTGTTGTTAATCCTCACTTGAGGATTTTTCCCCCCCATTACTTTTCAGAGACAGTGGGAGGGAGGGAGGGAGGGAGAGAGAGGGAGAGAGGAAGGAAGAAAGAGTGACAGAGACAGATAGAGACATAGACATCAATGTGTGTGAGAGAGACATCGATTGGTTGCCTCCTGTATGAACCCCAACTGGGTCAGGGATTGAACCTATCACCAGGGATGTGCCCCTGACTGGGAATTGAACCTGAGACTCTTAGGTGCACAAGTTGACGCTCTAACCCTGAGCAACACTGGCCAGGGCGAGAAGGGGGAAATTTTTAAAGAGGCATCCAAGTTCTTGCTAACCAGCCCACCAAATTCTCACCTGGGAAGTCGATGGCCTGTCACCACGGCAGCTGCAGCAGTGGTGTGCATCTGTTCCATTTGTTGCTTTAACTGGATTGAGGTGGTCTGCTCTATTCATGCCAATGGTTCATGGTGTTCTAGTGCTCTGGCAGTTGGACAGCCTGTATGATTGGAGGACTTGCCACTCTCTGGACTTGCCCCCCAAGTAGCCCAGCGGTTTTTTTTTTAAATTGATGTATAATTGTTAAACAATACTATATTAGTTTCAGGTGTACAGCATGGTGATTTGGCTTTATAGACTTTACAAAATGATCACCACAATCAGTCTAATAACTGTTCAACCAAATATAATTCAAAAGGGAAATTTCTGTCCATCTCCCTCTAAAATTTAGCAAAACACTATATTCTGCAGTTACACTTGAAATGGTTTTTGAATGATTCCCTGTTTGAATTTTGTCACCTTACAAAGTTGATTTAATATTGTTTATATTCCCTATCCTATACACTATATCCCCATGACTTATTTTTTTAATATCTGGAAGTTTGTACCTCTTGGTTCACTTCACCCATTTTGTCCACCCTCCCCACCGGCAACCATCAGTCTGTTTTCTGTATCTATGAGTCTGGTTTTGTTTTGTTTTTTAGATTCCACATATAAGTGAAATCATATGATACTTGTCTTTCTCTGTCTAACTTATTTCACTTAACATAATGCCTGCAGGGTCTATCCATGTTGTCCCAAAAGACAAGATTTCATCCATTTTTATGTCTGGGTAATATTCCATTATATACATAGACCACCTCTTTATCCATTTGTCTATTGATGGACCTTAGATAGCTTCCAGTAGCTCAGTGTTTGTGTCTCTGCAGTTGTAAGACCTGAGAAAGGTGGGGGATCAGTGGTAATTCAAACAGAAATCACTTAAAACCCATATCTAGTGTATTTGTGGAATATAGTGTGTTTTGCTACCTTTTGGAGGGGATGAGGGTCGAGGTTTTTCCTTTTGAATTATATTTGGTTGGATGAATAGTTATTAAAATTATCATCTATGCGCAGGGCAACATAAGCTAGTGGAGAGGGAGGTGACATGCCTTACAGGTTTGCTAAGTACAGGAGAAACCAATCTAGAAATTATAAGTGAATAATCCCCAAAGCAGCTAACGAAGAATTGGCTATAATTCAGTTTGTTTTTTATGAAGTAGATGAGTAATTGATGGTGTGACAAGTGTATTATGCTAATGGAATCATTTAATATCTTATGTTAACACCCACCTAAAAGGAATACTAAGCTAATTGATGTCTATTTAAGGAAAACCCTGCAGTGGTGTTGAATGTCAGAACTCATGATTTGGTTGCAGCTACTCCTTCAGGCTGCCATTCCAATTTCAATTTTGACAATTTTTTTTTCATCAGAATTGTTTAACACTTTCACTCCATTTGAAGCTTTCTCAAACTTGTGTGATGGCAGGTTGAGGACTTCACAAGTGTTTATGAAGAAGTTGATGAAGAACAGTATTCGAAGCTGGTTCAGGCACGCCAGGATGATGACTGGATTGTGGATGATGGTATGTGGGAAGAAATTGCCTGCCAGGCACTGTCTTAATTGCGTTTCATACTGCTTTGCATGTGTAGATGCAAGACTCTGTTAAGATCATACCTTTGGTTTGGATTTTCCTCAAATACAGTGTTTGAGGGCATGGAAGCAAAACAATAGAACATTTATTTAGGGGCATTTTGGAGAATCCAGGCACATTTCTCAGGATGTAGTATAAATCCTCCAGGAAATGGCTGTGTAGAAACTAGGAGGAGCCATGTACTTGTGCGGTATCCCCATGTAAGGCGGGGATAAGAAAACTACCTAGCTCACAGAATGGCTGTGAAGATTACATTACTATGTGCATGAGGACTGCCTTGGGCAGTGGAAAGCACCATGCAAAGGGTGGTCCATGTGTTCTTACACCCCTTGTGGAAAGTTCGAGGTTCCTGCTGGTACGGTGTGACTTCTGGGCATGTGAATGTTGACCACAATGACTCCTCAGATAAACTACACAGTGTAGACTTCACCTGTGACTATTTATGTTTCTACCTCTGTAATTGGACTCAGCTCTATTGCCAGTTTCCCTCATAGAATGAGGTGCTGTTCTGGGCTTGAGATCTTCATTCTTTTATGTTTTACTAGAGACCCGATGCACGAAATTCGTGCACTCGGGGGGATATGGTCCCTCAGCCCGGCCTGTGCCCTCTCACAGCCTGGGAGCCCTTGGGGGATGTCCAACTGAGGGATTAGGCCCAATCTCTGCGGGCCTAAGCCAGTAGTTGGACATCCTTAGCACTGCTATGGAGGCAGGAGAGGCTCCTGCCACCACCGCTGCACTCGCTAGCCATCAGCCTGGCTTCTGGCTGAGCAGCGCTTCCCTTGTGGGAGCGCACTGACCACCAGGGGGCAGCTCCTGCGTTGAGTGTCTGCCCCCTGGTGGTTAGTGCACGTCATAGCTACTGGTCATTCCCCTGTTTGGTTGATTTGCATATTAGCCTTTTATTATATAGGACTAGGGGCCCGGTGCACAAAAATTTGTGCACTGGGGAGGGGGTTCCCTCAGCCCAGCTTGCCCCCTATCACATACTGGGAGCCCTAGGGGATGTCCTACTACCTGCTCCCTGCTCCCTTGGGGAGTGGGCCTAAGCCACAGTCTGGCCACCCTTTGTGGGAGTCGAACGGGCTGATCAGGGGAAGGCACCAGCCCCATCACCACACTGTTGCAGCCACTGCAAGTCAACAATTGCTGGCTGGCTCCCCCCTGGTTCCCCGCCTCTGCCGCCATCAACAATCCTTGGCTGGCTCCTCCCTGGCCCAGGCCTAAAGCCTCTGCTGGATGCTTTAGGCCTGGGCCGGGGCACCCCCAGCTCACGCCGCAGCCGGTCGCTGGTTGGCTCCTCCCCGGCCCAGGCCGAAAGCCTCTGCTTGG